CCTTCCACTCGTCTCCTAGAGAATCAGCAGCAACTTCTGTGGCCATTCGCTTCTCATAAAAGGTACGAAGTTTGCGTTCATCGTCCACTTCAATGAGTTTCTGGCAGCCAGTGGCTGGAAAGGAGATGTTCAGCTTCATGGTGAAACAGCCGATCGCAGCCGCGGCGCCACGAAAAAAAGCTATGTCACCATTTTTAAGCCTCCTGGCTATGTATTTGTTATTGATCATTGAGTTGACACATAACTCATCGTGACCTTATGTGATAGAGTAATCTTATATCAGAAGGGTTCCTTGGGTGTAATCTTTTTTTTTTTTATGTTTTGACTTTTTATTGTGATTCGGGTGAAAGGCTAAAGATAAAATCAGTTTTCCATTAAAATATTTATGCAAATTTTATTTTATGCCATTGATAGCAATGCATGCAATGTAGGAACACACTTCCCATGTCTTCCCTATGTTTCCTGTTTCCATGTGAACTTCTTTCCTATCCCTTCCTGTCTTCTGAGCTCTCTACGTGCATGACTGCTGCCCTTTGCTCTGTTGTGGCTGATGGTTCTACAGATGCACACCTCCTTGGTGCTACTGTTATTTTGTTGGCCTGTAAAGGAAAGTTTTGGAAAAGCATGCTGGAAGGGTTTTAACTGCACGTAAGTAAAAAGGAAGGAACCATGGACATCACTCATAGAACTTGAAAAGTGTGATCTTTCTGAAAATTGACCCATGTTAATTTCTGGTAACAGTGCAGGTGTTTATGTGTGAGGGACAGTCACACAGGTGAACCCTCACCTCCTACATTGGACCCCTGACTCCCTGGAAGTACAGTCAGGGACAAGTTTTGCAGCCTGGCCAGGCCTGGTCACTTCGCAGGCTCTGCGATTAGTGAATTCCTCCATGTGTGATTTTGTTGCAGGATGAAGAGGTTTGGGCAGCTGCATGAGGAGTGGAGGCCTGTGCTCTGGGGGCTGGAGCCTGTTTTGCCTTCAGTGCAGGTGCCCTTGTTAACTTGAGAGAGCTCTGTTTGGCTGCAGTTTGCCTTGAAGAATCAAAGACAGCTCACAGCAGCAGTTTTTGCTTGAGAGAATTGTTGTCAAGTCTGTGCAAGGAAATCAACACCCAAGAAGCTCACACACACACACACACACACACACACACAGAGAAGCTTTAATAAAGTGAAAGTACATTCCCAGAGGAACTGGGAGCAGGCCACTCCTAAAGGAGGAAAAGCGGTGAGCTCTGTCCAACAGTCCTTTTATATTGTCTAAATCAGAGGGACTGGACTTGGGCAGGACCTGCTGGTAAACTTGCTTATTTCATTGTTCCAGTCCCATCCCTTTTTCTATTTTCTTTCTTGATACAGCTAATCTTTCTGGTGCAGCCATTTTAACTTTCCCATAATCCTCTGTGATTCCCAACAGGGCTGTCAAAACCACAATGCAGATTTATTATAATTGATTGCTAATGAAAATCTAGGTTACTTTGAAGTCGTCTTGTGAGCAACTGTGCATTTCCCAGTGGGGAAATGTCCCACATAAGTCCTTTTCGTAGTTTTAGCTTTTTGTCCTCTTCTGATTGGTTGCTCTCCTTCTCAGGCCTTCTGGTCGGCTCTTGTGGTCAGCAGTGTTCGAAGCTTGGAGCTGAGGCCCACCTCCCTGAGCTCACAGCCTGACCCCATCAGAGTGGAACATCTCCCTGAACCTGGGAGGAAGCCACACAGCTGTCCCTTCTGCTGGCTCAGCACTGTCTCCTCTCCATCCTTCTTCCGTTTCAGGTCTTCCGTGTGGGGCAGGGACAACCTGTTCAGTCCAGGAAGCTGGGGACCCAGGGTGACCATCTTGCCCGTCTGCAATTCCCAAGGAAGGATCTGCACTGCTCTGACTAGTGTGTGGACCAAATATCATTCATCTGCCTGCAAACTTCCCAGTGGTTTGCTACCACTCCCCTCCCTCTTCCAAAAGGGACTCCTTGGGCTTAGAGTTGACATTCCCTGAGACTTTCAGAAGCAGCAGCCAGGAAATGGTGAGTTGTACAGCAAACTGATTCTTCTTACCATGAGTAGATGAGTGTGGATATGAATTATTGGGGGACTCCCTGTGTGCTGTGAGACTGTGGTTCCTCCAAGAACAAAGGTAGCTGAGGAGGTCTCATAGTTGTATAGGCTGAGGATCTCACGGACTAATTGTTTCCACTTGTCTTTAATTTTCTTCATTCTTCTTTGTTCTGGGTGGGAGAGACCCATCACTGCATCTAGATGGCCACTTGTAAGTTTTCAAGATCAGTTGCTACTTGCCAGAGTAGGATGTGGAATGATTTTGTGCAGTTTGTTATGAATGGCAGTGAGTTTGCTTTTTGGTTTTGGTAGTATGTGTGCAGAGCGTGTGTGCAGCTGACCTACAGCAGGCGCCTTGCTCAGCAACAGGAGAGCAATGGAACTGATGAAGTCCGACCTTGTGAATCACTCTGTATCTAACGTAGGTCTGTGTCTGGACTGGTACACGTCCTGATGCCCAGATTACAGTGTCACTCACTGGGATTTTCCCACTGTGTTCCTGCTAGCCCTTTGTCAGTTTAACCAAGATGGAGACTAACTTTGTTCTGATGAGGGGACATACTGCTGATGTGATGGGAAAGGAGTGCTTGCTGGAATGCTTTCTTCAGCAACTCTCAGAATGTGACAATGAGTTTAGTGACCATGGTGACGCTTGTAGGTCAGCAGAGCCCTATGTGACTCCAGCAAGCCCCTTCCCCTCCCCTGTGTGCCTGCAAGCAGGGACCCTTTTGTACCATACTTGTCTCTTTTTTTAATTTTTACAGAGCAAATTCAT